CATTTTGTTGATAAAATCCTTTTCCATAATACTCCCACATGTACTGTCTTTTTCCATTTTGCATGTGTGGAATGGATTATTTTTCCCTAAGCAGAATACTTTGCATTTGTCCTTACTGAATTTCATCCTATTTACCTCAGACCACTTTCTCCCCATTTCCCTTATTTTGCATTATAACTGTGTTCTCCTGCAACCCATCTCTTCCACAAGCTTTATAAGTGTATTCTCCAGGCCATTATCTAAATTGTTGATGAAGATATTAAACAGAACTAGCCCCAGAACCGTTCCCTCCTGAAACCCACTTGTTATGTCCTTCTAGAGTGACTCTGAACCACTGATGATTACTCTCTGGGAATGATTGTGCAAAGAGTTATGTACCCATCTAATAGTAGCTCACTTAGGTTGTATCTCCCTAGTTTGTATGTGCGAAGGATGCCTGTGTGTTAGGGTACAGCTATAGGTTGTATCTCCCTAGTTTGTATGTGTGAAGGATGCCGGTGTGCTAGGGTACAGCTTCACTACAAGTTTGTGTCAGAAAAAGGTACGCAAAATGCAGAGTGCATTTTGCGTACCTTTTTCCAATTCTTTTGTTGGAAGAGGCTTTTCTGACATTTGGGCCAAATGTCGGGGATAAAAACCTCTTTCAGAAGCCCCCTTCTTCCTCATAGAACAAGGAATACAGGGGCTTCTGAAAGAGCACTTTTGTTCTTCCGCTTTTTTTGCTGAAGAGCAAATGCATTCCCTGGACATGGCGGAGTTTTCGGGATACCTCTGGTATCCCAAAACCCCCCTGCTGTCTAGCCTTACCCTTAGTATGTGTGTGTGAGGTAATATTTTTTATTAGACCAACTTCTGGTGGTGAAAGAGACAAGCTTTTGAACTACACAGGGGTTTTCCCATGCTGATGATAAAAAGTTCAATTGTGTAGGGTGGGTTGTTGCATGTGGATCTATCTTTGTTAGTAAAGACCATCTCTTGTTTACTGCAACCTTTTATCACTCACTCACATATGGTAACAAATGATTTGCTTGGTTGCACCAGGTATCCATTAGCTTGGCTGCCAAAACATTTGTCACATCAAGGTGGTTCTTGCTGAGTGAGTGGCCTCCACTTGAGGTGTTTCATCCACTGAAATAGTGCACAACTGTGCTCTGTCTGGGAAAGGCGCTTTTATGACCCACATATTAAGGCATTATTATTTCCAGTGACCCAGTTTATACAGTAGTGAATATGAACAACCGTATAATCATTTACTTAGGGGTAAGTCAATGACTAACCACCACCTGGTTCATGGGGGTTTGCCATTCATGAATGGCGCTGAGTAGATGGATGGACAGGACTTGAAGCAGGGCACCCTCTTCTTCCTGTCCCACAACAGATTTGTGATGCTGTGCTGTGGGACCAGTATGCCTGAAGTTTGTTAATGGGACAATGGGTCAGAACCTTTGGTGGTATAAGTAGCCTGATATTCACTAGCTGAGGCCTATACCATCTTGCCCTATGAGTTTAACTCAAGAAAGGTAATTTCAGTAAGTCCCATTTCCATGGAATAATTTAGTAGAATTAATTTTCCAAAGAAATCTTTACTACAGAAGAACACTAGTTGGAAAGATACATAGGCAAGGCTTTAAGCATATGAACATTAGAAAGCAAAGCTAAGTAAATTAAACAAAGCTCCTGGGTTTAGGCAAAAATCAAGCAGTGAAAAAAGCTAAGTAAATTAAACAAAGCTCCTAGGTTTAGGCAAAAATCAAGCAGTCTTCTTGACCCTTTTGGCACAAAGTCCATTTCATAACTTGTTCAGCTGGACGGGTGAGGGAGGGTGTAACAAATCATTTTCTCTTTGTGATTCACACTACCCTAGGAACATCACATTGGAAAGCAATGCAGCTGTATCTGTGACGCTCTCTTGGTGACTCAGAAATTAATAGATGTATTTGTCTCAAAGAAAACTTGCTTTAGCCCAGCACTACTCTTACATAATATAGAGCACCTTTTATCTCAAAAATCTCCAGGCATTTGGAGAAGTGTAATTAACATGACTAATAACACTTCATCATATGAGAGAAGGTCCCTTAGGCTTGAGTGACAAATTTTGGTCTGCACAATAAATAGCTAGTGATTGCATAATCCTAAAGTAAATTGGAATCTGGGACTGGACAATCTGTCTTTTTGAGTAAGGGCAAACTAGCAAGACTTTTTATTTTGCTTTTTTTCCCCGCCCCCGAGGTTCAAAAAGCCCAACTTTTCACCAAATTTGGTAGAAGAAAGATGGAGTCAGTAGGCATTGAATTCAGCTCCCATGATAGCACAGGAAAATTGTATTTGGTTGTAATCATGCAAACATACACTGTAACATCCTAGCAGCAACAATATAGCTAATTAATTTATTTTGAAAAAAAAATGCATGTAAGTCAATTGCACATCATCCCATTTCCTCCTCATCTTCCCCAATCTATTTCGTATACCACTTGGATCAGCATCAATGTTTCCATTCTTTTAGGGACACCAGCACATACATTAAATAGAGTAACATTTCTAGTTTGCTCTCTGTGCATTTATCTGGCTCTGCAGACTAACAGGGAAAGCCGAGCCTATTCCTTAAAATAGTGATTCTATCTGCAGCAAAAAAGTTTGAGTCTTGTGAATCCTTTTAACAGTACTGTGCAACAGCCTGCAAAAATCAGTGAACTCCTTCCCCTGGATAAAAGTAGAGCAACTCCATTTACTCTGCAGCTGTTGATTTCACTGATGCCAACAGAGCTAAAGACGACTGCCTGTCAGCCAGTTAATCTGTGTCCAGGGTGGGCAGGCTTCTGATTTATCCTCTTTTGCATTGGATCTGACTATTTTAAGGCCCTATTTCAACAGCTTAGCCATTTGGACTTTTACCTGATCAACTGCATCTCAAAAGAAGCCAGTTTAAAAAGACACATTAGCATGGGGAAAGTCTGAGAAACTGCGTTCTTGACATGGACTAGAAACTGACCTAGTTACCGAAGACAGAGGATACTTGTGAGTGGCAACTGTCTGGGTTGCAGATGGAGGTGATTTGTGAAGTGCCAAAAGGCACTTCACAAATAAATGAAGTGCTCACCTTATTTATTAGTGAATAGCAGGAAGCTAGAAACAAAGGTAAGCAACTATGCTGATATGTAACTGGGAGAGTAAGTGATACAGAGGAACGGTAATTAAATGTAGACTGTTACACTAGAAATATGGACATCTGAAGTAGTTTGTGGAATTTAGTACAGAGGAAAATAAAGGAAGGAAGTAGAGACAAATTCAGTGAAAATATCCTTGGTACTCATCTGCTGCAAAATGTTCAACAGCAGGCTAAATGGACAGTACAGAACAAAGCTCTACAGCCTTCAGCACAGTGCTTAATGGATTAAAACCTAACCACAACAATAAAGGGCACTAATACACATTAGTATTATTCAGAGCTCTAGGCAAGCAACTACTGTTCCATATGTGGCTCCAGAGGGATCATTTTATTAGAGAAGAGCTGTTTGAGAACTGCAGACTGGGCTGGGAAGAGGTAGTGTGTCAGCAAAGCCTTCTGCACACACCAGGGCTCCTTGCATCCTTCTATTGTTCATTGTCCCATAGCAAAGTTTCTCATCCTCCCATCCCCCTGCCTTTCAGGGACTCCTGCTACTTCCCCAAATCTTCCCTTTGCAAGGCTTCTGAGTGATCCCCATTTCTCCCACTCAACATCAGCAGCTACCGTATGTGCATCTCTATATGCTCCCCATTCCTCTACAAGGTAGGAACTGCGTACACACCCATTCGCCCCATACCAAGATTCCTCACTGATTTTCCTAACAGCAG